AGATTTGTCATCCTTCTTTACGACAGGACCAGTACATGTTTGGACATAAACCTTGATGAACACATATATTTACAAAGAAACCATATATCAAACTAATTGCGCCGATTTTTTTCGCTTAGAAAAACAGTCATTGGGAAAATAAAGCGCATGTTACAGAATGAGGTAAACAAAAGCACGTGTGTCTTTTAAAAGGATAGATTAAAATTTAAAGCAAAAAAAAAAAAAAAAAAAAAGAAAAGCAGTGATGGCTTTGTTGTACATGATGTTAAGGGGACAAACGGTCAACAGGTTTTATTCAGAATAGGTACATATATGCTGGGAAGGGCTGGGAAGGGCAAAATGTGATACATGCTGAAAGTGGTGATAGCTAAGTAGACCACATGAGAATGGTTCTCTTTATCATGTGAATTAGGCACCATAAAATAACTACGCACAAAAGTTTTAATTACTCCATTTCAATATTTTTAAAAATATATTATATGATAGAAATATTCAACCAGTCTCTCGACCGGCCATTATGAATAATTAGATGTGAAGGAAAGTAACTCAAAATTAGGCCTAAAGAACAGTGTTGATATTTTTGTGGCTTGTTTCAATATTTGCTTTTTCAGCCAAGATATCTAGTTGTCATCGGATATGAGAAAATATAAAAATGTACTTTATTCATAAACTAAACATGAAATAAATGGGTTTTGGAAAAATCTAAAGGTTTAAAATAATATAGGTTCTTTTTATCAACATTTTACATAGGAAATGCATTGAGAATTTAAAAAAAAACATTGATTTGATAAAACTGTCTTTCTTTCATATTTAGTCCTACTTCTGGCATAATCTTTAACAGGATTCATAATAAAAATGATTTTCTGTAGCCACCTCTAATGTTTTCAGGGGTTCGTGACTTTGTCTCATTAGCGGTGCATAGACACAGGTTTAAAGTTAAGATTTTCTTAAATTTTCTGTATAATATCACGTCTTGAATATTGCAATAGCATTTCACATGAAGATATATTAAGAATCTTATTACATCTGAAAGTTATTGAAACTTCAAATTTTTGGACATGTTTGATTGACACATCCTTGCACACTTTCACAAATTTTAATGTTATTCTTAATACTTAGGAAAAGTGGCAATCTTGTTGTGTATTAATGAAAAATATTAAAACTATAATCCAGAAAATTCAGAGTAAGAAATTTTTGAGAGCAAAACATACACACGGTATATTGTTAGTTGTGGTTAGCAGACATCAACAATTGAACACATCCGGTGAATCGTAAAACCCCAGTCACATTTCCAAAAACGACCAACGGCCGACGGGTTTTGAAGCAAAAATGGGTTTCTTCGGGTGACAGTCGGCAGTTCATTGGACGTTGTCTTGACCGATTTTGACCACTTTTTTGTCGGCCGATCAATTTTTTGTCCACCGGTCAAAGTTATAATTTTTTCTGCATCGGTGGCCGATTTCTTCAATTGAAGTTATCTGTCGACCAACCTTCCATCATTGTCCGACTATCGGCAGTTAGTTTGTTAAGTCGGTCGTCCGTCGTTCGACAATAAGGGTGTTCAAATTTTCGGCCGACGGTTAAAATCAAACTGTAGTTCAAAGCTCGATGATCGGGCGACAATTGGTCGACTTGTGAATATTTTACCTATTAAGGATGCATAACACAAACAAAATTTTTGTGCATGGATTGATAAATATTTTTGAACGGAAATAACATAAATAATTGATCCGTAAGATATAAAGAAATCTTACGTATTATCTGCTGCTTAGATATGTTGTTTTATGCAGTTCTATACACAATTTTGAACACATTTTAACATAGAGTCGCAATCTTATAAAATTCTGCCACTTTGCCTTTCAAACATTACTAACGTCACCGATTTGAATATAGATCTATGAAAAAAATATTGATGATTTCTTAAGAAAAGAGATATTTTGTGTCATTTATCCAAGTCATCGGTGTTTCTAGGAATTAATGTGACTGCTCCGTGTCTCCCTAATACATGTTTCGGCCGGTCATGTTCTTTCAGCCGACATGACCAGAAAATTTAATCGCCAGACCATCGGCTTAAATGTGAACTAAGCATAAACCTACACAATAACAGAGCTTGTGTCCTGTTTACAAGAACTGTGTACTTTTCATTGGTGTGCTCAATGTGCTAAAATCTGTACAAAACACTTTGCGCGGAATGATGATACTTGTGAAGGGGTTTTGCTTTCGAGCACTTCTACTCTGAATGTAACTACTTTTTTGATTAAAGTTTAAATATTTTTTTATATGAGGACATGTTCTATGTACAATTGACGTTTAAAGCCAGGAAGATACTGACATGCTGATTTTCGTTGCTGTAAACTCTATTATAAAAGGGGCATATTTTACTTAAGGAGGCAAGGGTGTCAACAAATTAACCACCAGATTTAACTTATATTTTAAATACGGTAGCTTAAGCTGTCAACTATTATTTGGCAAAGACAAAAATTCATACATTTTAGTTTTAAAGTTTGATCATTTTTGTATATCTTTATATGGAGTTCTTCTTCAAAAGAAGGTCGAAATATTCTAAAAATGGCCAGAACCCCAAACCCCCTTTAAATGTTTCGAACTAGATGTAAATGAATTGTTTGAAAAGAAAAAAATGTTATTTTATATATGTAAAAAAAGCACATTTGCTGCAAAAGGGAATTACAAAATGATTTTTAGAAGACCTACGATTTCCAAACCATATCTAAATAAAGATTGAGAGTATCTATAAGTGGAGTCAGAATGCAATGTGTATACAAAGAAGAAAGGTAACACCAACACCAATTCAATAATTATATTTTAGCAAAACGAACAATATTTCGACAGTAAAAAAAGGTACACCCAGAAGCTTATCATCACGACTATATTGATCCTCATCTTCAACTGAATCGAGCCATTGGGCTTACAGCTGATGAGACGGAATGTTTACTACACCATGGTTTCTGATTTATCTATGCTCTTCTCTCAGATTGTATTGTTCATTTAGACTTTCAGCATGATTACCTTTCGTTATTTTTTTACATTTTGATATTTTATCTTAAAACGCACAAATAAAATAATTTCAGAATTTCAATGATATGTTTGATAATCTTGATGCTAACATTATCAATTTTTGGTCAGGTTTTTAAAACTTATTTATAAAAAGTTCACAAGTTATTAGCTTTAATTCAATCTTTATTTCATTTATTTGTAATCATTAAAATGATTAAGGAATTAAAGAAACTGAAAGAGCTGAAAGTGATTCTAAATTTTGTTAGCGTTTTGGGTTGATTGATTTATTTATTGTGTAGTATTTTACGTCTCGTTTGAGATTTTATTTTACTCATAAAGACGTCGCAATATACGAGTAAAGGGCTTCAAATTAAAACCTTTATTCCGCACTCACAACCATTGAGCAGGTAAGGGTCTTTATCATCATAGCAACGCCTGTCTTGACAGGGGTCTTTGGTTTTTAAGGTCTCATCCAAATGACCCACAACTCTCACCCCAAGCAGTGGCTATATACCTACTTCTTTAAAATGGAATGAACTTTTAAGGACTGTTATTAACTATAAAGTTATTTTGTTAAACAACGTTTGCATCAAAGATAGATAATGCTACTATAAATTTTGCAATGCAATTAATATAAGATTAACTCACAGAAATTGTATATTTAATCTTATTAATTACTTTCTTCAGAAGTCGTCACTTAAGGAATCGAGGAAGACCTTCTTCCATTCTTATTTCTGTTGATTTTTTGAAAATTATCTTCCTTTTCATTCCCGAAAGATATATACATATCTAACACCAAAAAAGCGTATTTTAAATAATTTTTACACTGATTTGTAATTTTATGTATAAATTCCAGAAATATATATTTCATGTATGTATCATATATGCTTCGACATAATGTTCTTGGTGTATACTTGTTTGGTAAATTTGATAAAAAATACAATATTTAATGATCAACAAAAGCAAACACTGGAAATTTGAAAAAGATATTCGAATAAAGTATATTTCCAATTTTTTCTTCCCTTTACACTTATCTTGGGTTTGTCCATGGTTTGGCGGACGTTATGAAAAAGATATCGTTAAGTGTATCTCTATTTTTGTCGTTTTTCTTCCTTTTAAGATTAAATTTTTTATCAGTGTTTTCCACTTCTCCATAATTCTAACATTCATACGTACTACTAGTATCTTTTGATTCATTTTCTGAAAATTATCTCAGTATTTAGAAAATAACCCAGTATATTCAAGTCAATAGGATAACAAAACCGTTAATTTCATATTTTTAAGGATCATAACATCTTGGTGATCAGTAATCTCTCTCTCTCTCTCTCTGATAAAACATATCATTGAAAATAATTGTATATGTCTTGTAGGAAAAGTGAATTTATATGCTTATACAGTGAAACTTCTTCAACTCCCCCCACCCTGGAAACCAGTTCTCCCTGAATATCGGCCGAATTTATAAGTCCCGGCAAAATTCACAACATTTCTTAACACATAAACTCTCATAAAACCGGCCACCCCTTAAAAACCGGACACCGGCCACTTTTCCAAGAACAAAAGTTAAAAAACATAGGAAGTTTCCCCTCATCATACCGGCCACTTTTTGATTATATATAATTGTCATTGGCCAAAGGGGTATATGAATATATTCATAACTAGATGCTTTTATGAGACAGTAATACCCGCACTTAATTGTCTACCTCTAAATCCCGTATAATTGGACACACAGGGAAGAATCAAATTCTAAACTTTACACGAAATATATATATATATAAATATATATATATATATATATATATATATATATATATATATATATATATATATATATATATATATATATATATATATATATATATATATATATATATATATATATATATATATATATATATATATATATATATATATATATTCTCTTGGATTGGAAAGGAGAGCAAAGAACATTCTTTCGAAGGAGTAAAACTAAATAGAGGGAGAAATCTTAAAGGTCAGAAAAAACGGGGGAAAGCCAGAAGCGGCCCTGTGGATATGTATTTCATTGAAAATGGAGAAAAGAGAAAGCAGGCCCTCTACCAGAGGAAAAAAACCCTTTTCAATAAAGTTGGTATTTAATTTATATATAATTGTATATAAAGATTCACGATCAATAACTTTCAAAATCTATCACCTTCACTTTCATCTTCTGTAGTTTGTCTGCTGTCCATGTGTTCAATTATGCTGCGCAAATCTTTGCAAAACTTAATTAATATGGCTCTTTTCTCATTCTTAACCTCCTTCCACAGACGATTCTGTTGCAAACCTAAATAAATGCACAAAATATTTAATTTTAATTTGTATTTTGGAAAGATGTAATTTAAAATATTGTAATTTAATATGAATTTTTATAATGAGTTATTTTTTGGAGGGGGGGGGTGTTAAAATTTTACCCATTTCAAAGTCTTGATCCTCGACCCTGTCCAAGTCTTGTAGAATTAGCTGAGTAATTTCTTGTTTATTCTTCCTCTCTATGGAATTAAAACTTTTTCTATCATCGGGAAGTATGAAAACAGGTTCTAATTTACAGGTGTTTACTGAATTTACTTTGGAACATTGAGAAATAAAAAGATTGTCTTTGCATTTTTGGGAGAAATGTGCGAAATCTGGATCTAGCACTTTATTAGACAGGCTACATGGAGAAATTTGTCTTTTGGGGGTTAGCAGGTACTCCGCGTCCCTTAACTCTGCTCTCCAATGCAACATTTCTTTCTGTAAATTCGTATGGTAAATAGCAGAGTCATGTGCATCGTCTTTGTCTGTAGATGCGTACATACAATTATGAAGGTTCTTGGTAATCTAAACAATATATACATATCTTTCATATATCATAAATAAAAATTGATTTGAGAAAACTTAAAAAAAAAAAATAAAGACATTAAATCTAAAATACCTAGTTTTCTTTATATGTTTTTAAGTAATATAATATTTTACACATTATGAAGATATATCATGCAAACACTTTGATATAATTTAAATAGTACAGTAAAACTCGTTTAGTACGAACACGAATATAGCGAGTTCACGGATATAGCGAAGTTTTTCTGCGTATCCTGCAAAATTCAATTCATGATAAGACATTAGTTATTAAAAGTAAGTTTTGAAATATTTGCTTCACTAACATATTTGCTAGTAGCACTTGAAGGAAAACATGCATATTGCGAATTCGCTATATGTTAATACGAATTCGTTATACGTCATAAATATGTAAAATACATGTATCTAGAATTAGTATTTCATTAATTATATATTATAGGCCAAAGAGTTGAACATCACAACTAACTGTGATGTACTGATTATGATAAGAACACCGTGTGGCCAAAATCTACACTGGTACACCCCTCATTTTCAATAGGTACATTTAGTTCTCTTTATTTTATGAGGATTTATTTTAATTACATCTTTTTCTTTTATTTCATGCACATGAAATGATAAATAAAAATTTATTTTAAATAGGCCTTTGAGGATTTGAATTCCGTTACAACCTCTAACATAACTCCAGCACCACCCTGCATGTCACTTCCAACCCCATCTAACTCTTCTCTTTGTGAAAAGACCTCTCCTGATCAAGAACCCACCCTTCCCGATAAAGAACCCACCCTTCCCGATACAAATTCCATCACTGTAAATTCTTCTTTCAGCTATCCTTCCCCCCAACCATCTACCTCTTTTTCTTTCTCAATTTCTTGCACCCAATCCGACCCAGAAAATTCACCTAAATCTAATAAACGGAAAAGAAGTACGCCATCAACAAATGCTACAACAACATCAGAAAAGGGTTTGAAGAAAAAAAGGAGTGTCCAAAATAAATCCACACAAACGGAGGCTTTCGATGCTGAAGTTAATAACCAGTGTAATGTTTGCTTAGGAAAGGAGGACAACGGCCAGTTGATAGGATGTTCCCATCGCGGAAATAAATGTGAATATTGGGTCCATGACAGTTGCTTAGGTTTCAACTTTAAAACTAAGAAACTTGTTAAAAAAGTCAAGTTTCTATGCCCAAAACACATGAAGTAAATAAAATATAAAAGTATTTCTAAAATAGCATTTGTTAGTCTTTTTATTTTCAATGTGGTAAAATTATGCAAATTATTGAATATTATATTTGTGCATATACATGCGACCATTAAAATGGAATATGTGCGAAAATTTATTAGAATGTTCTTTGAAAATACATATAAAAAAATAACCTTCTCTAGTTTATGTAAATTACAACACGTCTGTCGCCAGTGTTTATCTTGAGGAGCACCAGGGGGAAGCCACCTCTAAATTAATTTATTCTTTGCCTCCAAAATGAAATCACAGCCCTTCCCTTTACTGGGATGACCTGACTCTATATTAAAAGAAAGTAGGAATGAAAATAAAACAAATATCTAAATATTAACAATACGTATTTATTAAACTGATAATTTATATTTTTATGCAGAAAAGAAATATTCTCTTATAACAAAAGCTATAAAAAAATGTAAGAAGTTTGTTTCCGAATACGAGCGTTCAATTTCGAACGCACCATTGTAAAAAGTCGTCTGCTTAAATTCTCAGCTACATGAAAAAAGGTAAAGAAAGTGGCATTAGGTAAGATTTGTTTATTTTAACATAAACAATGAAATTATTAATTTCAAATTTAGTATGTATTAAACTTCTACAGTGATAATATACCAAACAACGAAAACGAAACGACTTACGCGAAAAAGTTTCGTGTTTTACTAAGAAATCTTGGATTTCTTTCTGGGCACTAAGTCTCATGGCAAGATCTAGAAGTTCAATTCTCTGATAATTTGTTTTGTTCATTCCAAAGAAAAGAGGTGAAAATTTAAGCCGAGCAGCAAATATAGCCTCAGAATTGTTTCGTCGGATTCCCGCACGGAAGATGTACAGGGTCAGAGCATAGGTAAAAATTACCTCTTGGACAAACCTAAAAGAGAATCACTTCTAAATTTATAAGAAATGTGACAAATGAGATAATCAGTATTATATATATATATATATATATATATATATATATATATATATATATATATATATATATATATATATATATATATATATATATATATATATATATATATATATATATATATATATATGTTAATTGGAACATAAAATGCTCAGGTAAATTGATACGTTCTTTTATGATGTAAAAGATGGCGATAACAATGATAGGTCTCAAAACTCTATAAACAATATAAATATGTGAAGAGGACATAAAACACGGATCCCTGGTGATTCCAAGGGTGGGATCAGGTGCCTCGGAGAAGTAAGTTTCTCCTGTTTACCGGTCACACGCACCATGAACCCTATGTCAATTCAGTATAAAAACAAAAATCTAAAAATTGGCATGAAACAACCTTACCAAAACCAAACCCAAAGATGGGTTATATCTGCTAAAAATGTAATTATACCGACTACAAAAAGTTACAAAATATGCAAATCCCTGTCACATTAACGTATGGGTAAATAGCCTGCCTCGCTTCACAAATTGATCTTACACAGAGCAAGCTCTTAAGCGGCGAATACTTTGGGAGACAAAAAACTACATGCATAAAACATTGTTTTAGAATTAAATCTTAGTTCTTCTAAAATTCAATTTATACAATGAGCCTTACAAACAAAGACAATGTTGATACTTTTGTCAGCAGGGACCAGTACGTACTGATCATGTGATCTATCTAGTTGTTTTTTATTACTATGATATTGCCCCTCAATCTTTTAATACCCAATGGATCTGATACATGTAATCCATTATGACAAAGTGTCAACGTCTTCTTTTTTCATATGTGGTCCATCGCTTGACGTAATCTTAAAAGGAATCCATAAAATGCATGAAATTCTCACGAAAGTTGAAGAATCAGGGTTCCCTTTATTAAGAACATATTTTTATTTTTGTTTTTAAAAGAAGTAATGTTTTCAAGCATCCTTTTAAACCCAAAGATATCAATGACTTCCTTATGAGACATCTTTCTTTGAAATGTGATATTTAAAATTAAAAACATATAAAAATAGCCTACTTCATGCTACTTTTCAAAGTTTATTTTTGACAATCCTCTAGAATATAAGTGGAGAAAATGTATCCATACTGATAACTCTTCACTCATAGAACCATAAAGTACTGCAGTATGGTTTGAAGCTAAATTTAAGGTAGGCTTTCTAAATCATGCATTAAAAGGAGGGTCAAAATTGTTTATTCCCCTTTTTAGATATACAGTTTATAGTCTTCCACGTACAACTTCTACAATTTAGCCCCTGTACCGCACTAATGCTTTATTTCTAGCTAGCTCATGTGTCAGGTACAAATTTATTCCCTGGGTTGATAAGGTGCAATATTAGTGAGAAATAATTTTTCTTGATTAAATAGAGTCTTAGAGACCTAACCCGACTCAAACCGAGGGTCACTTTCTCTTATCACAGCGCCACCACATAGGTAGATTTGTATTTTATGCTTTAGTACAGTGTTACATAAGGATATTGTAAACCAAATGTTTGTGTTCAATGGACTTCATATACAATATAAGTTGAATTTTGATATTTCAATTTTCAGTTCAAATGATTTGTTTTCCTTTCAGTAGAATCTACGTATTAGAAATAATTGATCATGGCTATCCCCACTTGGCAGTAAGTAGAAACAATACTTATACTTTTGTAAATTGATGCGTTGTTTAAAAGAACTTGCAAGTATTTGTCTATATTCTACAAATTACAAAATTATGTTATTATTGAGATGCTTATTATATCTTTATACATTGTAACAAGATTTGTCATTGGTTTGTTTGGTATCAAGTAATAAATATGTAATTATTCAGATGCTCATTAATATTGCTAAACTTGTTAAACTATTCCTCAGGGAACATGTTTGTTCCTTCAACTCCAATTTGCCATCAAAGGTAATGGCACAGTAAATATTTATATTATACATAATCACAGAAGGCCCCAGTCATGTATTCCAACATCTTTAGTTGAAATCTAAGCTTTGTATTTCTTACTAATATATATCGAATATTTATCAAACATCTCAAATATAATCGTCCTACATTTTCATGTTCTTCTTGACTCTACACCTATAGTCCTGCTAGACACCTCATTACAAATGATCTAAATATAGTTAAATATGAGGACCTCATGAAAATTTTGGGAATTCATTCTTTCATCTAAAAACACATTATTATAAATAAAAAGCATTTTGTGGACGACTACGCCAGGTGATGAGCCAGGCATGAAAAAGAAGACCTTGATTGTTAAAATGGATGAAAAGAATCAGATGGATGAAGAAATGACTAATGGGCAACATGTTCAAGGATAACTGAGTCAGCAACCATGGTAAAATACGAAAGCCATAGTGCCTAGCAACATTTGTGTAAAATATTAAAAGCATACCTTTTGCAGTTCTCGAGATATAGGGTGTGTCAGACGGTCGGACAGAAAGACAGACACTGGGTAGTGTGATCTAAGTGCCGCTCTGCTCTGCAGGAGACACAAAAAGACGTTATTGATAACCTAACGACAAAACTTTATGATAAATGTGAATGACTTCTACTTTTCTATCGTCAACCTCTTCCCCTGCATATGGAGTTAATGTCTCCTAGGTTATTAGGTATACAAGAATATGTTCTATGTACGAACAATATTCAAAACGAGGCCAACTATCAAAATAATTATATGAATTAAACAAGAATATCAACAGTCTTGCTTAAAGTCGACATTTGGAAAATTCTTTGTTCAATACAATGACAATAAATTAAATGCATACTGATGTTTTTCATACAAAATGTTCAGCCATTAGTTTCACTCAATTTTCTACGGTTTTTTCTGTAAGTCCGATCATGAAAAGGAGCACAAAGGTGTGACCAGTCAGAAGGGAATGCTTACTCTGGATTTTCCATATTACGTGATCCCACCTCAGTTGTTTTAAGTACT